TGTATAATGGATGACTGTGCAAAAGTCATATATCAGGGACTAAATCAATAGTTAGGATCTTGCATTTCTAGTCCTCTATTCTTCCGCGCCTTGTATGTGTTAAATTTAATCAAAGCGTTTGGTTTTCATTGGTGGATATTAGGCGCTATCTAACAATTTGTAACAGTTTAAACATTGCATGGAGGACTACTGATAATGTTTCGTCCATCGGATGCCAAATGTGAGTATTTTCAGGTACGGTTACTGAGCCCCTATTATTTGTATAAAAATAGGCAAAAAGCAAAATTGTGATTTAGTATTTTGTCATTTTTGCAGTGAAGGCTTATTGCATCATATTGATTATGATGTGTACTATGTAGTACAGAAGCATGTAAACAAATACATGCGGAGAGCTAGATCCGAAGCGTTTTAAAAGTGTTGGTCCCTCTTCGTAATTTCGGAATTTATCAGATATGAGGTTTCCAAAAAACTGGCACATAATTCATTGCCTTCAAATAATCAATGGCACAAACGGACCACCTTCCAACATGCCCAGATAAACAAGATTAGTATGCGTATTTTGCGTGTGCAAAAAGTAATACGATTCACTCAGATAAAAAGATGTTCTGTCCGTACACAACAGCAGGAATCAATATTGAACCATTGATCTCGCACTGACTTCTTGATGCGGGAAGGGAAACGGTGACATAATTTTTATTATACACACACCGCCTGGAAACAAACCAAAAATGCTCCTCTAGTTTTTGTTTTCGGCTCCCCATGAATAAAACACACTATAAGATTTTCATAAAGAGTAAAACGTAACTAAATTTAAAGTCTCCTGAACTAACGAATAAATTTTAACTTAAATTAATATGCTGACATTGGAAACACGGCGAACAATCAATTTAGCCAGCCGAGTTTTGCCTACAAAGGACAACTGTTGTAATAATGTATGGAACGTTGGTCGTTTCCCCCCTCTAAGAATCCTAAACAAATTCTGGGTCCCGTTGACTTCTACTGTAAATGGACTAAGAACAGCTTTACCATATATAAAAATTTGTATCGGATTTCATTCAACGGTAGTTGGGTCAGCTTTGGGTAGGTGAGGTCTTACAATAGGTTAGCTGATGGTCATTAAAGTCCACTTGGCTCATCGGCGAACTACTTAAAGTTGGTGCTCTGCGATACATCTTATGATATTCTTTAAGTTGTGACAAGTTTATACCCTTTGCAAAATGCGAAGTGTTATTCAACTAATAAATTAACCGCTTGTTTAACTAGGACTTCCGAAACCATGACAGCCACAACGGTTACAATAATGTTCCTAGGTATCGTGATGAATATTCCTTCTTTGCCACTTCATTCTGCAATACTCATTTCTGTTTTATTGCCTATTTTCGCTAAGCCATTTTAACGTGTGACGCACTACGCATACTCGGCCCCAATAAGTGACCAATAAATTAAACATGCCTGCAGTTGGAGATACAGATTTTATGAACTTGTCACTATTTTAGCGAATATTACTCAGTGTTGCATATGCAGTTATCCCAAATGCTTGTCTGCACGGTAGATGTTTAAAGTTCACCAGCATCTGCGAATTAAGCTAGGAAATTCTCACAGCTCTCATAAACAGATGGGGCTATTGTAAGTATATTATTTGTAAAGTACTGTTTACTTGTACGTGGAAAGCTTGAGCAACATGAGAGCATTTCAGGCTTTCCAAGTTTTGGCGCTTAGTTCATCTGGTGTACATAATATCGATGGACTTCATAATAACACTTCCAAGTTACTTTGGTTACACTTGCCAACGTCCTACAACGATAGGTTAGTTAAGCTATATTACCTAAGTTACAAGGACAAATTGGCCCATTTTGTTATGTAAAGAGCTTTCTACATCATTGATGTGATACCTCTTTGTACCTTGTTCTCTTGTAATCAGAAAACGAATGAAACGCATCAAAATCGGTAGTAATTAGTACCAGACCGTGTTCGTTAATTTTTTGTATAACATGATAAAACCACTGGAGGGAAACATCAATGATACCTTAAAAATCTTACTCCTGTCATGTGTAGCAATCTCCACATGGTTATCCCCTGGCAAAAATTAAATATGGATGGCTTAACATTTTGACAATAATTTTTACAAAACAAATTACCAATGCGGACACGAACATTCTTATCTCTAGTCCGCGGATGCCAATCATTTCATCCACAACTGTGCTAACCCTATGTATATCGACATGGTCTGCAGACAAAATGGGTCGCTTTATTCACACCATCTGGTAAACAATTAGGTTGCTTGAGAAATCTAATGGTACACTTACGGGAATAATGATAAATGACGTTGGGTAGTTATAGGCTACTCAAGAATCTGATAAATTATCGGTTATGCATCCGCATAGAAGAAACCAACATTATGGAGAAGTTCGATCATTATCACACGCGCTTAAAAGCATTCCTGAAGTCATTTCGCGCATCCATTTGCTCGTACATGTGCGGACAAATGATGAGAGAGTGGTAGTTCACACTGATGATTAACAACAACAGTTTAAGTATTTTAGTAGGGGAAGTAATGCTTACTCCATACATGTTTTGTTGATTTTTTTATATTCAGTGATGTGACAGCAAGTCACAAACTCCTGTTCTTAGATGTAAATAGGAAAAGACATCTTGATACGTTGATTGCCTCATTTCATTTGGATGATACTCGCTTCAGCACCAAGCAAAATACAATGCACTATAGGATAACCTTAAGCAGCCGCTATGCTTGACAAATTGGAGGAAAGTAATTTATCAGCATAGCAAGCCACGATCTGCGTTATATCAAATAAATGATAAGTGAATTCCATTGCGTTTTAAGACGGATGTAAATAATTACAGCTTCGATAGTTGTTCCATCCTGGTACCGTTTGAATCAAAGTAAAGTATAACATTAGTAAATTAAACGGAATAACTAGTTTGGATTGCTATTGGGATCTTGCTTCAGTTTCGATGCATATCGTAATCTTTGGTACTGGGGAACACAGGAGAGAAAGTGGAGGCAGAACATATTAATTTTATGCGCACGAGATTTCGCTTGTAGCGTGACACCTCGTATTCCCAGAAATGCAAATATGTCTAGGCGGATTGATATCTAATTTGCTTTTATTGAGAAAATCATGAGGAAATACAGCAACAGAATCGACAGATTTGCGTGAACGAAACCGTGAGGAAAGATATTAGGTGCAAAACGCATGTAGACGTATATGCGTGGTAGTGAATGAGCATCGTGGTAGCTGCTTATGCTTAATGATGTTTCAGCTGTCTACGGGTGTAATAGTTGAGAAATATACTGCCTCAAATGGGTGATAAATAATTACTTCTTAAGTTGGATTAAAAACCAACATTAATTTATATAAACAACAATTTGCAAGTATGTGATTTCTGAACTTGTCCTCGCTTTGTCTAGCTTCCGAGTTGATTCAAAAGATTCAGTTCTTGTCAGCTTTCTAAACGTAATAACTTTTTTGATCAGATTCCTATTCACATACCTAGTGATGTTGAGTTCATACTGTTTTCATCTTTTACCGCGAAGAAAACAGAATCCATAGGAGAATTTTTAATCTTCAGCAGATGTTTTGTAGCAAAAAAGCTACAAAAAGGCGAAAAAAATTGCATAACACAGTTAACCACGTTATCAAGAGGTTGCGTGATAGTCACTCTATAATATATCAAGTATGGGAGCAGGAATTCGACAAGCAGAAACACTACATCTAGGGAAAAAACAGAATTACTTGTTATATGAGAACTTCGTCAATTACAACTCATCAATCCGAACGCGACAAAGTGTGCGAAAAGTGGTGACTGGCGAAAGCCTTCCAAAGAAGACGTTTATGAAAATATGTCAACAGTTAAATAATTTTACTAAGCAGACATTGGAATTCACTGTAAAGGGACAAATAAATCTAAATGGCGAAAGGATTCCAAGAGGTTCTATAAGTTGCAGTCACGTTTTTGATGCCTTCATCACTGGATTTTGGCACATGCTGTTGTTGGCACCGCGGCAATCCCGTTTTTTCAAGCCTCCGCGAAGAAGCCTCTGTTACATCTTAGCACTATTTTACATCTGGTGCATCCGCAACAAATTAGCATAAGCCAACAATAATTAATAATTAATTCATTTTAGTCTATTGACTAAAATCTAAAGAGAATTAAGGCGTAATGCCTGTGCGCCGTACAAGCCCAATGAAAAAATACCGATATTAAGGATATATTTCAACTATCAGACGAACTTTTCAACAATGAAAAAGAACAAACGTCTGATAAAGTTACAGAAAATTTGTTGTGTTGCAACAAACCGCTTCCACCAGTTCAATGCATTGCGTCTTTGCTTAAAATATATAGTATGTGCGCAGTCAGTCACCGCTGCGTGGCACTAACTAGTGCAACCGCTATTCACGTTCAAGATGGGTATGTCATGGAATGACAGTCCTCACTGCAGTGGAACCCATCATGGACGTAACCGGCTTATAAAAATCAGAAAATTGGTACATATTTTGCTGACGCGGTGGGTAACTAATCCTGAACGTAAATTTTAATCCTAAAAATAATGAAATAATTAATGCCAAATTTAAAGCTAAGGTATCAAAACTAAAACAAAGAATAAAATCTCATTTTTTCATGGCAATAAGAGCCAAAGTTTATATTTTCTCGTGTACCCGAACTTGTAGTCACAATCACCAAGAACATTCAATTGCAAGTAAGTAGAATCCAGTTGACGCTGTCAAGTGAACTGGAGCATTTAAAAAATTAAAAAATTAATAATGCTAAAATGGGCTGTGTTTATGCAAGACCGTATTTATTCCGTAATATTTTTATCCACCGCTGCGAATCAACTCGGTTCGTTAGTCGTGGGCTAACCAAGTCACTGATTTTTGAACTATGTCCACGGACCAATGGAAAATATGCTTGCAACTCTCTTCGTCATTGGCGAATACAGACCAGTATTTATGCGGTTCACACGACACCCTAGGGTCTCGCAGTGCATTTCCGTGAGCTAAAGCGAAACTACTGGGTTTGTTACAACGGAAAAGTATTGCACTTAACCTCTGCCAATGTATATTGGATCTCATGCAGTTCTGATTAAATGAAAAAGATGGAGCCATTTGATTTTAGTAAGTACTTATGCAAAATTTTATCTGATTACATGTTTCTATATAATGCCAAGTGAGGTACTGTATGTATCAACTGCACAAATTTCGGATAGTTAGGCTCGCATTTTAAGAAGATTCTTATTCATTCTAACCACGACTTTGCAACAGCGCTTCACAATCATATCTAATGACTGCAAATGTTGTTAGGTTCGGATTGCCACACATACGTTATAGTTTATTGCAAACTCCGTTAAACAACCGCCGTGCACACCTGCTTAAGTTTAGAATGTTTCATCCGTCTTACGGATCCCCAAGGCGAGCCACCAAAGTAAGGAATTTGCGCGCGATGCCAACGGCAATAATGCAGCCCTAGTCCGTAACGTTTAGACAGAAAGAACATATATTTCTTACTGTTCACAGCATTTAAAATTTCAAGACTGGTTGAATATAAAGCCACATATTTGCAAACTAATTAAAATATGGGGTTTTCTGTCCAGCCGCATTCCTCCTGTCTCAACTTAAACAGGTTTTTAAGTTAATACATAATGTATTATAGGATATCGCTCCTACTACAGTTTTGAAGGACGGGTACAAATTTTGTTTTATGAATATAAGTGTGTTCCTCATACAATAATCTCTCATTTGCTGCACAAGCCTTCAAAGATTTTGAGTGAACGATTACTCTTATCATCTGTCAGACGTCCGCATGTCAGACTGAAAATTACCACAGAAGCAGCCTCTTGATTTGGTCCGGCGAGTAATGACACTTGCAAGGCGCATTTGGGAAACTTGGTAAAACTGCTGGAGTGAGACTAACAGAATACAAATTCGATTGAAATGCTTTTAATGGTTTGACACATTATAGGCTCTGTTCTTCGAAAAGAATTGCGTAGGATAGTCTGACCAATATAGATTAGCAAACAATGGTCGTTTGAACTGATCTTCTCTTCTGCAACCGTGAAGGATTTTAAGAGCTCTGAAAACCAGGCTGCTTTTTCCAATCCACCTGCTGCGAACTGATAGTTTCTTTTCCCTGGGTTTCGCACCTGATAATGTACGTGAATCTTGGTGACAGCATTAACAAGGGCAGTGTAACCAAAAAAGAGATAAATTACTGTGTTAAGAATGTTCTAAAATGTGTCCTCATTCAATATTTCGTCCTAATGGAAATGAGCCCTAGACATAGCACTTACTGATGGCGGTTTAACTGTTCGCTGAGCTTAGCAATTTTGTTGCAAACTTCTCGTCACCAATCTAGGTGACCTCCTCAGTGCGTATTTGAATCGCGTGCAGTAGCGTGGAGTAGCGTAGAGAAGCCTAGGTTAGAGCGCTTCACCGAGGCTCCTCTACGCTACTGCACGCCACAACTACGCAATGATTGCATCTCGATTAATGAGGAAACTTTTGCAACAAAATTGCCACACAGCGTACAGTTCAACCGCCATCTGAACAACCTGAACTACCAGTCTTCAAAGCTACAGCGCTTACTTCCTTGCTGTAATAGGGTATCAAATCTTAGCCTAACCGACTGAAACTTCGTGTGTTAGATGCATTAAACATGAAAAGAGCCTTATGGTACTCCAGTAAATTTGTTTCAATCACTGAAAGAAGCGTATTTGCACTTACTCAGTAGGAGGCACCATATATTAATGCTGAAATTATTAAGATAAGCAATCTGGTTTACTTGCGTCAATCGCCTCTAAAACAGTTCCTTTACTAGAATATACAATAAAGCTCTGCTGATATTATCCAAGCCTTTTTCAACGGAAAATGGGGCTCTTGTCATTATTGCTAATAGTAAATTCGTAGAATGCAGTTAATTAATATATCCTCTTACCTTCACTCGATGTTTATACTGTCTAAGATAGAATTTATGAGTAGCTTCCGGCGTTTGTCGATAGAATATTATGCGAAAGCATCAGATGCTTGTAAAGCATACGCCAAAAAGTTTTTCGATCGAGTTGACCAATACACAATCATTGGAAAGGAGAATTAGCTTCAGCTGCATTAACATTGGTTGTACCACTTAAATCCTCGTCTCCTCCAGGTGAAAATTTACTTTTTATAGTTATTGATACAGCTCATATGGGCTTTTAGGCCACATAAGTGGTAGCATTATGTAACTTTATGAATTCGCGCACCTAATATCCATTAGTGGGTGTTGTATATGCGACGTTATTACTTTGGAAATCCTGTTTGATGAGTTGATGATTCTCGGTGCTATACTTTCCCAACACTTCCCCACACAATCGGTCTCATGCTGGTTTGGAGTCTTCACGCAAGTATAGATTGAAATAGGAGTAAAAGCTGATACAGTAACTGAAGGCTTACTTCCATATATTTAGGCCACTGAGCTTCGCGTACATCGTTTTACACAGCGGATAGTTCCCTGAGACCGCGTACCACAATCTAGACAGGTGGAAAGTGTCCCAAAATGGAACGATGAACGAATTTGATGGAAAGCGTATGACGAAAATTTGCTTATTTACGTGAATTGACCACGATAAATCATGGCTCCGAGTGATCCCCAGATATTTCATTGAAATCGAGTAGCTCTGAGTTTCACCAATGATGTAATGTTAGGAACAGTCAGATACTTGTTTCTGGTAACCGTCTGCCTTTTGCAACGAGAACAGTAAATTATTACTCTTGGAAACATTCAGCGTTAGGCCGCGGGTGTTTGATCAATTCACGATTTTATCCAAACAAAATTGTAGCATGGTCAAAAAGGCAGAAGTTAGATTATTCGCTCCGATTAGTAGGTCTTCGGAGAATTTTAACACTATGGCTTCTTCAGGGACAGGGAAGGATCCAACGTAGTTATAGAATAGGAATGATGACAGAATGGCTCCTTGAAGGATACCGGAAATAGTGGTAAAGGACAAGGAGCTCCTGCCTTTGAACTTGGTTATCTGAGTAGTTTAGGCCAAATAATCCTGTGACTACAAGGCTATCGATAGCTGGAAACCAGAAGCCAGGAGATCTTGCAACAAGATTTCACGATTTACACAACCGAAGGCGTTGGTGTCATCAATTAAGTAGACACGTGGGCCTTTGTTCTTGCTGTCTAGCAACGAAAGCACTGAGTTCACTAGACGAGCCACTGCGTATTTTTTCGAGCTCAAACTTCGGTATGCAAACTGATTTGAGTCATTCAGACGGGATTGGATTAACAAATTGTTAAGTGTGAATTTCCAGAAGACATATAAAGCCACCGAAGTTCACGCAATAGTTCGATATTGACCTGTGGCTTTCTTCGGTATTAGCGTTATGCTAGCAGCTCTCCAACAGACTGCGATCTTGCCTTAGTTTTGCCCATTATGTAAACTCAGCTAGCGGTCACTATAGTGAATCTGCACACCTCTTAAGGACAAAGGGAGACAATCTGTTAGGTCCGCTTGATTGGCTTGCGTTTAGCTGGGTAATCTACTTGTGAATTGCTGCAACATTAACAATTGGTGATGAGTCTGTATGCCACTGATTCTGTGCAGATGAGGAGTTGGGTAGTGAGTCACTGCTGGAGCAGAAGACGTTGCAATTTTTTCATCTATGTCTATGTCAGCGTTCGTACTATAATGAGCGACTCCACTAAATTGTTTCATTAGCTGCCAACTCTCACGGCAATTATTGTTCGCCAGAATTGTCTGGACGTAGGCATGACCGAGGTGGTGGACTTCCCAACTGATGCGCAGAGAAAGAAACTTTACTGACTTCGATGGCTCTCTTCTTAAGTCTACGCAGGTGCTAGAGACGTGGTGAGGAGAACTTGTCAGCACGAAGGAGAATAGTTTCCATCGGACCAGAGATTAAAACTAAAGTTCAGATAACTTAGCATCCGGTCACAATATGTTGGGACATCTGCATCGAAAAACAAACTGAAATCCGTAAACGGTAACCATTTTTTCAGTTGTGCCTTGTTTGATGGATTGATTGCTTTCCGTTTGCTTTTACCTTCCTTACAGCGAATGACTTATTTGTGGTTCGTCTTATTGTAGATGACAAAGGATAGCTTGACTATTGAATCATCAGAGCATCAAAGTGGTGCTTAAGCATTGACTGGAAATTTTTACTTTTGTTAACAACCACTACTTGTAGAGTAGCTTCTAACCTGGTGGAGCAGTTCACAACGCCTTGTAGTCCAAGTGTTGTGAGGAATGTGAAGCGAAACCTAGTGAAATCACCAGAAAATATGCAGAGGGATGTTGATGTGTTCAGTGACAGCAGCTGTGAAATCCTCGTAAAATTTGTCCGCATCTGCACTTAGACAACTTGGGGATATATAAATGTTGGCTAGATAGGTTTACCTGTATCCACTCAGATATTTTGATATGCACTTTATAACTAGGTGGTCGATAATTTGCGAGGAATAACAGCACAATTTTTTCACTGATGATCACCAAGAAACGTTAATAAACGTGACAACAACACCACCCTGTTTGCGAAGTTGCATGGGCGATCAGCATGGTGGAAAAAAACCGTCGACTGCAGCAATAGCGTCTTCAGCATCTTGTGAAACCAGGTTTCCTGTAGCATATTTACTCTCAACTCCGCGTATTCGCAAAGGTAGATGTTGCTTTCAAGGTCTTCCATTTTTCCACGTAGTGAGCGGACGTTGGTGCTGAGAATGACAGGTATGCTAATACTCGACCACTTTTATTCCGCAGAGCAACCCTCCATCCAGCACAATGACAATTTGCAAATTTATTACATAGTTGTAGGTTTTTCGCACTTTGCGTCGGATAAATAAATATGTCTGTCACTTGCGCGAAAACGCATAACGAGTTCAAAATTTCACCAGTTAGATACTCTTGACACTACTCGTAGCTAGAACAGTAGGTGCGTATAACCACAGTTTATAAATGTTAATGTTGAAGGCGGGTTTTAGAAATTCCTTGAAAGAAAAAAAGTAGGACATGTCCAAATTTAAAGGCCTCGTCGATGTGGAGCAGAGGAATTGCTAGTTGGCAATCTATTTTCTCCAGCTATCGCTCCAATTTATTTGGTAGAACTCGATCTCCCAG